CCCCAAAACCCCAAAACCCCAAAACCCCAAAACCCCAAAACCCCGTTTAAGAAGGGAATTATTGAAAATTGTGAATAAAAATTTTTGTATTAGTTTGGAAAATAAAATGTCTGTGATTGTTTCGACTCCAGATGAGATTAATAAAAGTCCGCTCAATACCTCACCATCAAAGCAACTATACTCCTTCCCTAAAACCAAACGATTCATCATCCCCAACTCCAAAAATAACCCAAACATCGCCTACAACCTCCCCTCCACCAGATCCAGACGCAGTGCCAGCTTCGGTTACGGTAAACGGTACAACTTCGCCAAGAACAATGGCAGTCCTTCGCCTACTTCGTACAATTCAACCTCACAGTTCAAGAAAATTCCAGGTGCCAAAGCGTTTTCGTTCGGAGTCGCCAGAGGAGCCTACTCCAAAGTGTATCTCAAAGGTCACAAGGCACCTGAAATGGCCAGAGATATTCCAGGACCTGGCGCCTACAACAACGAGCTATGGAACTCAGTCGGTAAAACCGGCAAAGCATACACACTGAGACCCAGAACAGGCTCAATGGGCATCAGAGTGAGTTCTAAAGGTATTCCAGGGCCAGGAAGCTATGAAGCTAAGAGTTCAATAACATCGAGAGGGACACAGTTCTTATCGAAGTTCAAATCATCAGGAGCAACAACATTCAACCCACCATCATCCAAGCGATTCAGCAACAACAATAACAAATAACCTTCCTGGTCCAGCTGAATACACTACTATCTTCCCAATTTCAAGGACTGGAGGTCAATTCCTCTCAAAAGTTCCTACACCAGCCGGTAGAACGTTCTATCACTTCGATAGAAATACTCTGAAAAATCCCTCTACATCCCGTAACACTCCTGGGCCAGGCTACTACCGCCTTCCATCAGACTTTGGCTACTACGAAAGCAAGTTCTCTAAGAAAATCCCGAAGATTAAAGGAAGAAGGAGGTCTGCAGGCTCTGGACAGAAATCCAAATTGTAGAGCAGAAATATTCCATAATTTGTGCTATTTATTAGTGAAGGAGCTGTCTTTTCTAGCTAATAAGACTACTTAGAGGACCTGTCATCTCATGAGCCTTTAGTACTGGTGGAGAGAATTGGTTAGCTTGTTTAGCAGAGGGTATTACGGCTTAGGGAAAGCTTAACAGATACCCAAATTTGATTGTTCTATTTGTTTCCATTTTAGAAAAATTTCAATATAGATAAAATATGTAGGGGTTTTGGGGTTTTGGGGTTTTGGGGTTTTGGGG